ACACCTACTTGGTACATCTGAGGACAGCGAAGAAGGCAGGACTGGAGTGGCTGGATGAGGGTACAGTGGTAGGTCTGAAATCTGTGACTGAGGGTGGGAAGCAGATCTCCTAGGCCCCAGATAGCTTTTGTAAGGACTGTAAAGATTTTTACTCAGGGCGAGATGGGATTCCACTGAAGGCCTTGAATAGAGGAGTGACATCATCTGACTTAGGCATTAAAAGAATCACACTGTCTTTATACTAGTCTTTATCGTGAAAGATAATGTAAGGTCTAAACAATTTTCCCAGATGCTAGGACTGTTTTGTTTTTGCAAAAATTAGCAACATACTCTTAAAAATGGTTCCTTTTTTTAAAGCTGAATTCAAATTTAGATGTTGGAGCAAATATATTAAATACTGGTGAAAGTGATACATGCAAAAATCTTAATCTCAGTGTGTTAAAGTGCTTCACTTATTCTTCTCTGAAGGTTTCAATTTGCAAAAAAAAAATTCACATGAGTTTCTGTCATTTATACAAGGAACAACCTGAAAAGAAAAATCTCAAACTGTGAGGGAAACTGTTTTATGGACATAAACATATAGAGATGGTGGACAAGGCCTTTGTTACAGGGATGTTTGCTGTTTAGAAGCAATTTGTATTTTGTTAAGTTAACCTTACTATGGAATACAATGTTCCAGGATGTTCTGGCCTTCCAGAAAAGATATAAGCAATTCCATTGTTCACAATAATACGTACTAACAAAACCACAAATTCTTGAATGCCCAGTAGCTTCACATAAAATGCAACAAGGTAAGCATTGTGAATAAAATACAAATGTCACTGCAACAGCTCTACTATATTTTCTGAGACATCTTATATAATAAAAGCCTAATATGCAAATCAACCGAATGGCAGAAAGACTAGTCACTATGACATGCATTGACCAACAGGGGGAAGACACTCAATGCAAGGAGCCACCCCCAGCTTGCAGGCCCCAACCAACTGCAGTGGAGGGTGCCAGTGGGGGTCCCCTAATCGCCCCACTGGTCACCTGGCAAAGGGGGGTGACAAGCAGCAGTGGTGGAGGGGGGCAGGGCTGGCAAGTGGGTGGTGCCAGGCCAGCCAAGGTGGGTGATTGGGGGCCCCCACTAGCACCCAATTGTCCCACAGATTGGCCCTGATTGCTGGCCAGGCCTTGGGACCTACCCGTGCACAAATTTCATGCACCAGGCCTCTAGTCTTTTATAAAAGCATTTATATACGTAAAACTCTCTTTTCTAAGAGTTCAGCAAATCTCTTTTCCAAACATCCACACATTTGTTTAGTATGCATTTATGGAAGTGTACTCCTGTATACAAATAATTCATCATAAAGACAAAACAAAACTAAAAGGAATATCATAGCTTCACAACTGACTTGTCTTTATATTGATAGGCCATACCAATTCCTTGTACTTATTTTTATGAATAAAAATACCTCCCAGTGTTTGCAGAAAGGATCTTGTATCAATAACAACAAAAATTATGCCTACCTCAAACATGATTGTTTTTAATGTCAAGACTAATTTGTATCACTGAGGTATTAGCACTCACACAGTAGCTTTTTTATTTTGGACACATGAAGAGTTGAATGTTTTAAGAATTGGACACTTTAAGAGTCTTGCCTGTATAGCCAGTCATAACATCAGGGCCTATACTATGATACTTCAGTATGAAGGGAAAGAAACGAATATTCCGGCTCTGTGCTGGGCATCTGGCATGTCTTAGGGCAGTTAGCCTTTGAAGTAACCTCATGAAGTAAGAATTATTATATCAGTTTTAAATAGGAAGCAACTGAAGTCAAGGGGGTACAATGTGTCCCAGCCAGGGTTTCTTGAAGCCCTGGCTTGTCTGATTTCAATGCCCTTTCCCTTTTCTCTTTGCAGGCTGCTTCTACCGGCCAACACTGTCTTGGTAACATTTAAAAGAAAGCAAATGAAATAACTTAATCATTATCGGCATCATCACTCTTTTTTTAGAGACTGTTTTTTGAGTGAGTGTTTTATTTACCAGTCTCTGTCGTAAGGACTTGCAATCCTTACCACCACCTTGCAAAGTGAACACACCTGCACAGTGCCGGACACGGTGCACACTGCAGTCAGTTTCACACAACAAAGATAAGATGTGATACATGACACACCCAAGGCTGGGAAGTAGTTGAGCAGGCATTTAGATTCCGGTCCTACTCCTGTGCCTGTGGGCACTTTTCACATTCTTTATAGTTTGACAACTTAAAAAATATATAACACCCACTCGAATTAAATAAACTGAAAATTTACAATTCTAAAAGGGAACTGATGACTTGAGGCAATATGTAGCTGTGCGTCAACACTGTAAAATGGTTCTATTAGACACTTCTGAAAATGATTTTTTAAATGACCCATTTTATAAGTTGTTTCATTTATTTTTTAAAAAATTTTTATTGTTGAAAGTATTACAGATGTCCCCCTTTTCCCCCCATTGACCCCTTCTAGCCCAGTCCCTCCCCCATCCCAGGCCTTCACCTCACTATTGTCTGTGTCCATGGGTTATGCATATATGCATACTAGTTCTTCGGTTGATCTCTCCCCTCCCTCTAACTCATCCCTGTCTTCCCTCTGAGATTTAACAGTCTGTTCCATACTTTTATGTCGCTGGATCTATTTTGTTCAACAGTTTATTTTGTTCATTATATTCCACATATAAATGAGATTATGTGGTACTTGTCTTTCTCTGACTGGCTTATTTCATATAGCATAATACACTCCAGATCCCTCCATGCTGTCTCAAAGGGTAAAGTTCCTTTTCATTTGAACAGTGCTCAACATTCTCATGGCTTGGTTTATGTTTTTACAGTAAACATAACTGTTCTTGATTATTTTCTCCATGGGTTGGAATCCTTAAACAATAAAGGCCCTGGAGAATCCATAATGAGTTAATGAATTATAAAGATCTGTTGTCTTATTGATAGTCAAAAGTCATGTACCTTAATAGGTCAGGAATTTTTCACTAATTAGTTTAAAAAATCAAAAGTTTTAAGAAACTAGCTAATATTTTAGTTTAATAGTTGATATTGGAGAATGCTTGGATTAACAAAATAAATGAATTAGGGATAACCTGGAAAATGAATTTCTTTTTTAAAAAAATGTAATTTTACTGATTTCAGAGAGGAAGGGAGACGGAGAGATAGAAACATAAACAATGAGAGGGAATTATTGATTGGCTGCCTCTTGCATGCCCCCCACTGGGGGTTGAGCCCACAACCTGGGCATGTGCCCTGACCGGGAATCGAACTGTGACCTCCTGGCTGACCACGGAACCATGCTGGCTGGGTTGGAAAATGAATTTCTCTTTGCTGACCTGTTTTGGTATGTGGAAGTTCTTGTTATCTAGTTTTTAATCTACACTGCCTTTTAAAGTGTCTGTTTCTACTTAAAGTGTCCAATTTTTTAAAGTATCAGATGATCACAGAAACAAATGCATATTTAGTTTTCTTTTTTTACTATAAAAGCAAAATAAAAAGTAACGTAAGAATTGCTTATACTGTTATTGTTTATATGAATTATAATTTGTCCATCTATTCATTTATGTGTAGACAAAATGATTCATAATTTTAAAGTCCAATCTAATATTTTTTAATGATTAAAAATGAATAAAATAGGGGTAATTAGTGAGGTAAATAATATATCTATTTTTAAATTTTTAACCCTTAAAATACTTCTTTTGGGCTATCAATGTAGTCTTCTATTTTTAGTGTATAGATAAATTTTATCTTTAATCCATACTTAAATAAAAGCTTTAAAATCTTATATTTTAATTTTGACTTAAAGTTTTATAAAACACTTTTTTATATTAAGATTAAAATCTCCCCAAATAACTTATCCAGTCCCTTCAAATCCAAGCATAGGCTAAGATCACATTTTGTAAAATCATACACAGTAATTTCCCAAGTCATCTATCAAGAATATGAATGAATATTTCTTTTAACTGCTTGGTAAGCTTATTTTAATAAAGTTGTGCAAAGATATAAACATTAAGCTCTTTTTAAGCTATAGATCTTACTTATTTCCATTGTAAACAAGATCTGATAATGTTAGGACTGTCATAGACAAATTGGATTTCATAGAATCCACAATTTTAGGGCAAAATAAACTTCAAAGAATTATGGGCTAAGTCTCTCCATTTTCTTAATTAGATTTGTTATTTTTACTCTCCCATTTCTTTAATTCCAAACTCTACCAAGCATAGTATACAACTCAGGTGCACAGTCTCCAAATTCATTTCTTGAAAAAATCATCTGGAAGCCAGCTCTCTCCTCTATAGACCCCCACAGAAGTTGTGTCACTATTCTCTCCTTAACACATGTGCAGTTGTTTGCTGATGTGCTTGCTGCATTTTTCCTACCAGTGAGCTCAACAAGAAAGCCATCTTGAATCCCATTAGTTTCTTCTGTGATGTGTTATGTGTTAACTTTCACATAGTAGGTTCTCAAGGAGTATTGAGGGTGTACTCAACAATTTGTTAGGCATGTCAAGTTGTCAAAGAGAATGAAAATCATTTTCAGAAGTATTTTAGAAAGTCCTTGGTCAAGAAAGAAAGCCACAGGAGTAGAAAATTCTTCAAGAGGTGAATCAGATAGCTGGCACACATAAGTGACACATTCAATTTCTTCACCTGAATCTAACCTCTGGAAGATCAAACATTAATAAAATATTTATCTTTAGCTGTCACAGGCCAGACTTTGATTTAAAATTCTTGGGTACATGAATGGCATGCCACACCAAATATACAGCATCATGTATTTTAAAGTTAAACATGAATCTGTAAAAAATTTATATATGCCTGATATGAAAAAAAAATGAATGAAAATCTCCCAATAGTCACCACAAATAAGAAAACAGGATCTAAAAACAATTGCTCAACTTCTATACAAGTACAATGAAAAACATTTCATTTGAAAGTCCAATGTGGCATTGCTATGACATTCAATGCACTATCTTACCTTTAGGGAATCAAAGCAGGCGATTACTCTTCCATTTTCAACCTGGCAGCTTTTGGGGGGGTGAGCAAATTTGCACTCCTCGTCGGAGCGTGAGCAGGTTCCTCGCTGGAACTGTCTGCAGACTTCTAACGTCAGCCATTTAGTGTCTCTGACTGGGGCAACATTCAAAGCCATGGCAATCAAGTAATTTGGATTCTGTTTGTTTCCGTTAAGTGATTAAATCAACCCAAAGTTCCAATGATGCAAAACTATTGTTGTGAAAAACCCCACATGTAAGTCTGAAGGTTAAGTGATAAATTGCTTAGTGAAGTCCAATCCAAGGATTAGAGTGAGAAGAGAACGTATTGGCAAGCAGTCACTCATCAATCAATGTGCCCCACCTGAAGACTGCAGGCCGAAATAAAAGCATGCTCAGTGTCATCTCTGGCTGTCAGTGTCCGAGTCTCCTGATGATTTTGCAGACACACTGTTTTTAATAAGGAACTTCAGTAAGAAGATTTTTAGTTCTGATGCTCACAGCTAGAGATGGTGCTGGAGAAGAAGATGTTCAGATCTTAGCAGGATTTCTGTTCCCTCCCACCTTTATAAACTCTGAAAACAAGTAGTTGGTAAAGTCAGACAACTGAGGTATCTTCATCCACTTGTAAGGTCGACGTAACGTGTATTGGACAGGAAAACAAGACTTGAAAACACAGGAGCTCCCTGGCTGCAGTTCCCAGCCGAAGTGACTTCCCACAGGCACTTTTAAATCATGAACCTGAAAAACACCAATAAAATATCAACTTTCACCCAGACTCAAGGGAATCAACACTTGAACAAACTCTTTAGCTCTTGTCTAGAATTTGCAAAAATGCAACTGAGCGCTTTGAGCTTATGCTCAACTGCAACCGCATTGCAGAAACAATCCAGGCAGCAGTCCAAAAGTTAGGAATGACTCGAAGAGATGAGTGTGGCAGACACAATAATTAGGCATTCTGAAACAATTCAATCTAATGGGCTTAATCACTAAAACAGTGCAATAGAATCGTGGCTTCCAATTAATTTCACATTTGGGCCACTGATCTTATTATTGAAAATGCTACAAACAACTATCTGGGATGTGTCTCTCCTATATAATAAGGATATTGTCATTTTGGATGTGTGAGTCCCTCCTTTTTATCCTTTCTAGTTTGTGGAGATTTGAACTTAGAGCTGAATAGGTAGAAGTTTCCTGATACTTATTCTAATATCTCTTATATCTTTCTTCTATTATTACTTCCTTAAGGATAGTACCCCCTTCTGTGCTAAGAGCACTTGAGAATAAGGAGTGTTTGTAGTTTTCAATTCTGTACCCTAGTGCCTTAGTTCATGGCTATTAGGCCCTCAAAAAACATTTATTTTTTTTTGCCTGGACAGCATGCTCAGTGGAGAGCGTTGACCTATGAACCAGGAGGTCATAGTTTGATTCCTGATCAGGGCACATGTCCGGGTTGCGGCCTCAATCCCCAGTGTGGAGCATACAGTGGGCAGCTGATCAATGATTCTCTCTCATCATTGATGTTTCTATTTCTCCCTTTTCCTTTCTCTTTGAAATCAATAAAAATATTTTAAAAAAATAATTATTGATGATATAAGTGCTGGTTGACTCACTGACTGAAGGCATGCACGTTAGTTTCAGGTTAGTTCAGTGGATTCGAAATCTAAAATGGCTCTGTGAGTGTGGAATCTCAGAGGGAGGGTGGATGGGAGGTAATCAACCAAAGACCTTGTATGAATATATGCATAACCCACAGACACAGACAATAGGGTGGTGAAGGCCTGGGTGGGGGATGGGAGCAGGCTGAAGGGGACCAATGGGGGAAACAAGGGGACATATATAATACTTTCAACAATAAAGAATTATTTTAAAAATAAAAATAAAATGGCTTTGTTCTGTGGGATGCTGGAATTAAACATTTTCAACAAAAATATAATTAGTGAATTTAGATTTCTAAAATCAGCCTATTTCATTTATTTTACTATTTTCAAGGATTGTGAAATTATTAAAACATTAACACTTTAACATTATTGGGGTCAAGCATGAATAAAGGGCTAAATATCAGAAGTTGATCGTTTTTGTAAATTGTATATGTCACAAGTAACCTTCAATACTTGCCTAGCCATGATGTTCTTCCAAAAATTGTATAACTAAAAACTTAATGGAGACTAGAAGCATATTATTTAAAATCAGCATGTTCCAAATAAGTTCAGAGAACAATAATCCTTAAGTGATTTATCAGTTAAGTTTAGTTAACTCCAGGTAAACCAACCTGAACAGGCTTCCATGCAATAGGGCTTTTCCCCCATGGCCTTGAATGAATCTCTAATAGGGAAGAGAAGCATTGGTGTCTCTTAAACTTATCTGATCATGGAACATTTATTTAGCAGGACATCTCTTGGGATAAAGTGGAAAGGACTACTTCATCCCAAGATTTCTTTTACTTATTAGAAGTGTTTGAATGAGTTTTAATTGGATATGCATTTAAGGAAATTGGCAACCTTGAAAGCTCTGACACATACCTTACTTTAATTGTAAAATATTTGAGGGGACAGACAGGCTCCTGCTTGTCTGATTGGCAGCATTGTGTTCCAGCAGCTAACATCAAATAGCTTAACTCAGGGCATTTAAGAAGATGAGTTTAATAACCAAATTTACTCTGGGTCAGGTTTCACAGACCAGCCTGGACCTGCACCTTCATTACCTCAACCCCCACCTCTTACCCCTGTGGAGAACAAAGGATGAGGGGAACAAGGGGAACGGTATTCACTGGAGCTGAGGCCCTAATAATAAGGAGATGTAAAATGATGGCTTGGACACCTCTAATTTATATTTGCAAAATATTTATGGAGCCCATGAATCCTATGGACCAAGGTCCAATGGAGTTACTGGACAACAAAGACACAGGAGACACTCATTCTCAAAGGCAGCAGCATAGTCTCTGCGAAGGCTGCCCTTGCAGGAAAAGAAACAGGCAGACATGCATTTATGCAAAGATGGCAAACAAATAATTACTCAAAGTATTTCCTTAATTGTTTTAGTATGTTTTTTTTTTTAAACTGGTTTTATAGAGAGAGGGAGTGAGAAAGATAGAAACATTGATGAGAGAGAAACATCTATCGACTGTCTCCTACATGTCCCTACTGGGGATAGAGCCTGCAACCCAGGCATGTGCCCCAACTGGGAACTGAACTGGGGACAATGTTCAATCTGCTTGAGTATTTAGCCACACCAGCCTGGCATACTCAAGTATTAATACAGGAATGATGCCCTCAACACAGTCCCATGAATGGGGTACAATTTTGCTTTATTTATTTATTTTTTATTTATTTTTTTTCTGGGAGAAACAGTTGACCATTTCTACTTACTAGGAAAATCCAACCAGAATTTAGATGGCCATACTCTATAAAGATGAACTTGCTTTTAAACATAGAGGAGCCAAGCTTTCTGGTGACCAGAGTCCTGTGTATGTCAAAGGTGTTCCCGAAAGAAGAAGGGGGTGTCATATTGCGCCTAAATATATTGCTGTCTTAACCTCCCGTAAATCCTCTTTCTTCCAGATTGATCTTTGTTTCTAGCCTGAAGGCCATAGAGCTACTTTTTAAAAAATATATATTTTTTATTGATTTTTTACAGAGAGGAAGAGAAAGGGATAGAGAGTTAGAAACATTGATGAGAGAGAATCATCGATCAGCTGCCTCTTACACACTCCCCACTGGGGATGTGCCTGCAACCAAGGTACATGCCCTTGACCAGAATCAAATCTGGGTCCTTCCAGTCCTTCACTGAGCCAAACTGGTTTCGGATGATAGAGATACTTTTATCAAAGATACCACCTCTCTTGGGCCTTCACAACCTCCATCTTTTGGAGTGGGTATAGGAAGGCAGCTGTGGGAACGAGGAAGCGAGAGCAGATCTGAATTAGGTTAGAGGAGGCCACTAAAGGAGATACACACTGATGGGTAAGAATGGAGACCAACTTTTAACGTAGCCACCAAACGACACGATTAAACTGTATTAACATATAAACCCAAATAAATGTTGGATCTACCAGACTGCAAGCTCCTAGAAGGAAGGGTGACATGTCAGGGTTTTACTGTCTAAAGTAGAAGCCACTAGACACATGTGGCCATTGAGCACATGAAATGTGACCAAGTCTCACAGAGGAACTAAATTTAAACATCTTATGTATTCTCAATTATTGTAAATTTAACTTAAAACTCATCCTCAATGTGGTTATTGGAAAAGTTTTAAGTGTTCTTGGACTGACTTGAGTACATGAATCTATTTTTCAGTTGTACATTTTATAAAGTCTAAATACAGAGCAACTATTTTCCAATCAAAATGCAATATCCAAGTTGAGATGTGTATAAAATCAATGTGAATTTTAATATACACAGTAATTTCAACAACTCAGTATGAAACAAAAAGAATGTGAAGACATCTAATTCACATTATTTAATAGTTATTACATGGTGAACTGATAACATTTTAACAAATTGCAATACATATTATTATTAACATTAAACTCACTTGCTTCTTTTTAGTGCCTGAAAATTCAGAATTATCTATGTAGCTCACATTATATTTCTCTTGATGGCACTGTCAGGGGCTTTTGCTTTTCTTCTGTCAGCCAACATGGAATTCTCCAGATTGGTGGAAAGTAAGCTGTCCTAACAGCCAGCATTTCTAGCCCTCCTTTTGCCAAGGATCCTTCAAATGACCTTGGGTTAGTCTATTTCTCTGAGATCTAGTTTCTTCATCTGTAAAGCATTTATAATAGTTCCTGTCTACATTACAAGGTTGCTGCTGTGAAGGACAGACTATTGAGGAAACATAAAAGACTTTGTAAACAGAAAAGTGCTACCCAAATGCAAGGTGATGAAAGGAGGAGTTACTCTATAAATATTTATTGAATAAATCCACTTCCAGGCTTCCTTCCTCGGCAGGAGTTCTGTGTCAATGACCAGGTGGATCGGCTCCAGCCATAGATTCTAAGAGCAAGACAATATCAAAGAGCTGACTGTGAGGTCCACTCGGGGCCACTTATCTGGAGCATCCCTCATTTCTCAGACCATCTTGTTTCGCAGCCAAAAGGAACCCACAGGGAAGTTTCTCCAAGTACAAAACCCACAGTGTCACTACAAAGGCCTGAAGC